CGAATAGATTAGTATACTATTGTTATACGTGGCTCTTCGCTTTGCGGATTCCAATGGTTGCAGTCGTACAGTGGGTAATACGTAACAATCCCTGCGGCCAGTATTACGCTGCTAAATCTGATTTACGCCCTGGGTTAATGCCAATGGAACAATATGCTTCTATTTCATACGTGATCTGTATAGCAATATTCTTAAAAATAGAAACGGCATATGTACTAATGGATATATGTTGTAACGTAATTCTTTTAACTTATGACCCAACACCGATAGCAAAACCTACGAGAAGGACTATCTTCGAGAACCAACTACGTTACCTTTGGCCGTCCACCCGTTGTTCGTGCATCCGCAAGCCAGGCGGCCGCCAGCCAATTCTTTTTTCACCGGGAACTGACGAGTTGGTATAAACTGGGAGTTGGGGTGGAACAGGCCCAACTCCACCAAGAACGAGAGCTCTGACGGAACCTATCGGACGAGGCGATAGCTTAACGGATCCTGTCGATTTTTGGGGACGCGTAAAATCGAGAAACGCAACCGTAGGTGCTGATCTTTGGGGTCGCGTAAAATCAGCAAACGCAACTGGATACACGAACGGGAGCGGACGGTTACGGAAATGCACGGCCGCTCAGGCTGCTAGGTTTGAGGTAGAGAGGGTCGGAGTAAGAGTCCGGCAAATAGTGCGAGAGACAGAGAGCGACGAACCGAGAACGTATCAGAACGAATCTTAATTATCTATCGAGATCCCTTCACCAATTAATAAATTGGGAATCCTCACCGGAGCTGGTGCAGCTAATCCGTGGAGGCCGAGAACTGTATCCAAAGGACACTGGTTGACACTTCACTAAGACACAGCACTACACCTCCGTAACACTCACAGGAATTCATAGAATTGCCTGGATATCGCGAGAACAACGCGAGAACTGTACGAAGCGAGAACTTGCTATACCGTAGCGAAACACGGCAAGAAAAAATATCAACAAATAGCACGGGAGCACGAGCCAGCCCGTGACACCTCGGTCGGTGCCCCGAGACAGACTGCTTTAAAGCAGTCGATTGACAATAGCCAAATCCGAGAACTAATCATTCTGATTGGTCGAGAGCCTTATAGCCGATAACTCATCTATCTCCTTCGAGTCGTCCCTTTAAACCAAATCGAGAGCGTTCCTTAACGAATCGGTACGTAATCTGTGGAGATCCTCCACGGCCGCTTCCCCAGGGCATCGGGCGACAGCTGGGCACCACATCCTTAACTCAGGCAGGAGGTTCCTCTCCTGCCCTTAACCATATCAAAACTTCCTCCGCCCGCTCT